ATCATACAGCTTGCCAGTCTGCCAGATTTATACAAGGTTTTTGAGCGCTGCTGAATCTTATGTTCTTTAGAATCTCCAACTACATGGTTAATTTTGTGGTTGTACTGTGTCATGTTACTTAAAAAAAAAAAAAAATAGCAGTTCTTTGCTAAATAAATGTATATTGTTAAAAGACTTCTGAATTGTTGAAACATTTGTTGTTTGAAAAAAAAAAAGTGCTTTATTAATATCCTACCCCAAGGAGGGGAAATTAAAAATTATATCCTTTATCATTTTTAGGACGTAATTGTTTGTTATTTGAAGCCCCACTCTTGCTTTTGCCAGGGGCCGCAATATAGGCAGGCCATAAATATGGCCAATTGTCTGAACGCGGTTTCTGGGACCTCTCCACGGTGATCCTTATCCGCATGGTGGCACTTTGTGTCATCGGGTGTTTATCACTTGTGTGATGTCCTGGTGGGATAGAAATTCATTCAGAGGGGAAATCCACAGGTCACAGGACAGTCTAATATTTCAGGGGGCGGTAGATAGGCTGCATGCAGGCCTGGGACCTAGGCTGCACTCTCTCGTGGGAGTAGTAGGTGGGTTGGGGTTAAGGCTAGTTCTACATATTTTGGGGTCGTTAAAAGCATCAGAAAGCCAGGAAACCTAGTCTTACCACCCTCTAAAATGTTGGACTGTTATGTGACGTCATCTGGGGGTAGGGTATTAAAAAAGCACCTCAAAAATATAGAAATGAATAAATGCATAGGAAGGTTTCTAGAAAACTGTCACATTAGCTCAAGACAGAAATGAACATGTATCATGAGGCTGTTTTGCAGGGCTGTGTATATAAACGGTATTTTTCAAATAAAGCTATTAGGCAAACCCTTCTGTCACCAACATACACAGAAAATGATCGCAGCATCATGCTGCTTGCCAGATTTATTTATTTATACAAGGTTTTTGAATGCTGCTGAATCTTTCTTCCTCAGAAACTCTAATTACAAAGTTAATTATCTGCTTGTACTTTAGCAGCTACATAAAAATTATAGCAGCCATCTGCTAAATAAATGTACAGTAGAACCTCTCTTAACGAGCACCTCTCTAATGAGTAATTCGCATAACGAGGAAAACAAATTGATAAAAAAAATGACTTGCTTAACGAGCGATGTTTCGCATAACGAGTGGCAAGGAGAGGGGAAGTCCCGGATTGTGCGCATGTTACTTCAGTCTGTGTTTAGCACTCGTTTCAGAAGCATCGTAGTGTCGCTTGTGATCACTCATTTTCTCAAACTTGTGTTATATTGTGATATATGTACATAAATCCTCCAGGCCTACAAGATGACCTCCCTGATGAATTTAAGTTCATCAAGATCCAGTTTCTGCCTCCCAACACCACTCCGTTACTCCAGCCCATGGACCAGCAAGCTATTTCTAACTTAAAGCTCTACACTAAAGCACTCCTTGAGCATTGTTTTCAGATCAGGGACCAACGTCACTCTCAAAGAGTTCTGGAAAAACTACTTCCACATCGTTCCCTCCTTCTAGATGATCGACAAAGCAGGGGAAGGGGTTACCTAGAGAGCGTTGTCGATTTGTTACTTTGAGGGGTTCGAGACAGTACCTGTGGAACCTGTAGTCAACGTTATTGTGTCTTTGGTCACTATCATGGGATTGTAGGTGGATAAAAGTGATATCGAAGAGCTTGTGGAAGAGGAGGAGGTAACAGAAAAGCAACAATCTTCTGGCAAAATAACAGAAATGATGAAAGCATGGCAAACTGTTGCATCTTACATTGAGAAGCATCACCTTAATAAGGAAGTGGCTATGTGGGTTGCAAAAACAAATGTCTCTGGACATCTTTCTAGTAAAAAAAATAATTAGCTAAGTATTATAATTCTTTCGACTTTTTTTTTTTCTGCTAATCGAATTCACATTCCAGGTGGGTTCGTTTCGCTTTTGAAGAAAAGATGAAGATGATTCACTCTCCTTAACAATATGTATTTGATTTTCTTTGAATAAATGTTATACATAACATTTGTGAGTATTTTTTTTTTGACATGGAACGCATTATCGTATTTTACATTAATTTATATGAGAAAAATTGTTTTGCATAAAGAGGGTTTCGCTTAAAGAGTATGATTCTGGAACGAATTATGCTCGTTAAGTGAGGTTCCACTGTATTATTAAAATGCTTCTGAACTGTTGTTGAAATTGTGGAGACAATTTTTCAAATAACAAAGATATAAATTATTTAATGCACAGAGTTATTCTGAGTTTTGTATATTAACTCTTGCACTTCAGATACATATTACTTTAACTTAGTCTATCTAGGCAGTTTTTTTCAACCAATAAATTTTGGATGAAATGGAGTTCCAATAATAACCAAGTCCGTCAAACAGAATTAAAATAACGAGACAACTTTCAGACTATTAATAATCAACTACAATTTCTGAGTAATCTACAAATGTAGTAAATATAACTTATTTAGTGTACAGCCAAATAATATGCTCAATATGTATATAATCTATTAGTTAGTTAGTCTTTCCACTTGTGTCGAGTGCGGCACATAGGTCATGACTCTCCATGCATGGCGGTTCATTGCAATCTGTTGTAGGTCTTGGATGTTTGAGTGGCCCATGAGTGAGCCTTCCCTGATGATAGTATGTAGGGTTTCCCTTGGTCTTCCACGAGATCTTTTCCCCTGTGGTGTCCAAATGAGGGCTTGGTAAGGAAGTCTTGATTTATCCATTCTAAGGGCGTGGCCGACATAGTTCCAGCGGCGTTTTCGTATAAAATTAGACACATACTCTTGCCTGGATTCTTGCCTTATTTGTGTATTGGTTCGGAAATCTGACCATTTGAAATTTAGTATTCTTCTAAGGCATTTATTTTCAAAACTGTCTAATTTTGTGTCTAGAGTTTTCGTTGATTTCCAGCTTTCGCATCCATAGGTTAGTACTGGAATCACACAAGAATTGAAGATCTGGAGTTTTGTGTGTTTGCTAAGTATCTTTGATTTCCAGATGTTGGACAGTTTATTGAAGGCACTAGATGCCAGTGCTATTCTAAATGGTATTTCTGGTGCGGTATCTCCTGTAGATGACATCTTGCTCCCTAGATAAGTGAAACTGTTGACTTTTTCAAGGCTGTTGTTGTTCAGCGTGATATCAACTGAACTGTTTGTAAGGTCTAGAATTTGTGTTTTTGTGGTGTTAATTTGGGGTCCAATTTGTTCTGAGAAATTCTGGAGTTGATTTATTTTTTCTTGGGCGTCTGTGTGTTCTGAACTCAGGAGTGCTATGTCGTCATATAATCTATACTAATATAATATAATGAAGAAAAAAACGTGTTTTCTGCTTTAAAAAAAATTTTAATCAAGCCTTCTTACACATCATTGAAAGCAAAATATGGAAGGTCCAACAATGTAAGTGCAATCTCAACCCATCAAAATTAAGTAGGAAACAGTACTAACAAATGAATGAACTATTTTTAAAGGGTTACAAATTGGGCACACGGGCCCAGCTTACATTCAGCCCTTACAAACATTCTTCTGTTATACTGCAATTGTGTTTAATTTGTAAAGCAATTTTTGATTACACAGCAATATTAAATAATATGAATCTAAGTAAGATGGACAGACTGATTGAATGATACATAAATAGAAATGTATTCTTATCCTTATTATATTATGTTAGCAAATTAAAGCATTGCATGACAATGTAACTGAGACACTGGTACATTTGCAGTGTGGCCGTATACATTCTGCAAATTTGTATGATCTCAAACGACTTGCCTTTGAATATTACTGCATGACTTCTATCCACAGAATAATTTTCATGTTGTAACTGAAAAACTGTTTTAATCGACCAACCAATCAGCAGCCAGGGAAGGTTGACTGCAGTGAATCACCAACACACACTGTCTCTTGCCTTGGTTCTACACTCTTTCAGACTGCTGTTCACTCTCTTGCTGTATAGTTCTATAACCCAACTACTAAGTGCATGGTGTGACACTGTGAGCTGCATATTTAATTTAAAATGCTTTTAGACTGCCCAACACGGTTTGTGTTGTGAACTGCTGATTCCTTCTGTGTGGTTTTCATTGGCAGAGGAAAGGAGCAACTATAGGGCAATCCGTTTGATGTGCTTTTGTAACTACAATTACCTGATTATCTATTTGTTATCTTCCCACTTGTATCACTGTCTACATCTTGTGTGCCTGTCTCTAAATTTTCTTCAAAGTTTGGTGTTTACAAGATTGTTATCCTTTATTAGGTGGTGATAAAACCGCTCATTAGGTTTTGTATATCCGCTATCATAAATCACCAAGTTCCTCTACCATGATGCCATTAGTCCCAGCCAAAACTAATGAAAGAATGTATAAACAGCTTTCAGAACTTATATCTGTGTACAGACCAATCACACATCTAAGAACTGCAGATTTCACAACACATTTAAAGTTATTATCTCATTAAGCAATAGTATCATTAAAAAAATTTTTTTTAAAAACCTATACGATCTAATATTAAGGTTGGCACAATGTATTAGTGGAACTTTCTCCACAATATCTACTATTTTTAAATAACTGTGAAACTTGAGATCAATAAAAGTAGCACAATAAAACTGAACATCTAACATCACAGCTTTGAAAACATCATGGAAAATTAACATAACTGGTAAAAAAAAAAGAATCCCACCCCCACCCCAAAGAATAGGCTTATTTAGAATACAGTGCAGATCTAATAAGGAGAACTCCCTGGGGACCCAAGAAATGGCTCTTGTTATCAGAAATCACGCCTATCCAGATAAGTATTAGAGCAAGAAAACTTGTTGGGGATAAACAAATTGTTCTTCACATCTGAGATCCCCTTAAGTGGTCTGCACTATATGTGTGGGTTTTAAAAAAACATTCCTGTGAGACTGGAGTACTGTTGGAAATGTTACAAAAGTAGAGATACTAGTTCTCAAGAAAGCGTTGATAAAGATAATATGAACTTCAATGAAACATTCATTTAATTAGGGTCTGAAATGATCCTTCTCATGTCGCAGTGCTCCCATGACCTTGACAGGATCAGACTCCCCAGTATGCTTCTGGACTGACGGCACACTGAAAAAAAGAGTAACCATAATTTATAGTAACAAGTTAGGTGCTGTAGTTGTGCTGCGGTTACTGAACTTTCTTTGTGAGGCAGCAGTTCTGAGTTTTATTCTGAAGAGTGACAGGATTACATTTTTGTTGTTGTTTAATTAGCGTGGAATTAAGAGAATGACACAGGCAATAAAAAGTGTAATAAAGATGTCTTGAAATTAACTCATAAAGAGAATTGATTGTCTGCATCAGAAAGAGACAATCTACTTTCTTTTTGTCACAATTTGAGAAGATGATAACTGTAGTTTTTTGTGACAACGAGTAAGCTTGAGAGAAAGAGAGAGGCAGTGGGACATCAAGAGGGAAGATGATTTGGCATCATAGCATGTAGGATCATCTGCATCAGACTATTCCTTTTTAGTGCTCACCGGCTGTAAACCCCAGAGGAAAGTAATAGTTGTTTGTCCACTTCTGGGCATTAGTCTTGTTCCAGAACTTGAGATTTGCGTGCACATCCATTTTACAGACCTGGCTTATATTTTAAGCAGAATGCTGATTCCTTGCCTCTCAGGCAGATGCACACTTTGAAGGGAACACCCCTAATTAGTAGACTTTGATGACATGCTTGTTGGAGGGTGGAGGGCAGTGTATTTATCCCCTCCCAAACACACACATACAATGGGGCCCTGAAACCCACAGGGAAGCTCTTCAAGCTGAGAAACTGGCAAAACTAGTAGTGTGATCACATCTACAGAGAGCTATATTAAAATGTAACCAGGTCAAGATTCAGCACAGCACATGTGAACAGGCTTTGATCGTGTTCCCTTTAGGGCTTCAGCATTATTTTCAAAAGGCTCCAACCCAATACCAGTCAGATGAGACAGCTTGCTTAAAATATAAGTCCAGGTCTAAGATACTTGAGTTTGCCTATTTATTATGACCTCCAGCAATTACCTATTTATTATGACCTCCAGCAATTACCTATTTATTATGACCTCCAGCAATTACCTATTTATTATGACCTCCAGCAATTACCTATTTATTATGACCTAAAAGCCATATACTTAACTGTTGGGGAAGGGATAGGTGTATAAATAACTAAGGTCTGTTTCATTTACAATGATAAACCCATTTTTAAAAAACAATAATTTAAAAAAAAAAAAAAAGTGCATAACTTACTTGACCCTCATAAAAGGATTGAAGAGATGTTCATCCTGTATTGTTGATGGAATTGTGGGTTCACCATTGCTTCTTTGCTTCTGCAAATGTGCAAGCAAGTATTATGATATACAACATAGTACTGCTATATTTTTCTTAATTTTAAAATCCTGTAACTAACCTCAAGGATCTATGAAGGCAATATATTCATTTTTATAAAAGAAAAATTACTGTGCAAAGTACAATGGTTGTTTTTCTCTGCATTTGCCAGATGTAAACTCAAGCAACAAGTTTTGGTTGTTCGGCCATGTCTGGACTTAAGTCTTATTCCAGTACTTGAGTTCTGTGTACATATCCATTTTAAAGATCTGGCTTATCTCTAAAATAAATTGTTGGCTCCTTGCCTCTCGGGCAGATGCACTCGACTTGTTTGTTAAAGAGGCAGTGTGGGACTATTCTTGTTTTCCCCCATAATGGGGCACTGGAACCCATAGAGTTTTATGGTTCAGACTAAGCTTTTCTTACTGGCAGTCTGCAGACCACATATTGCTTCAATGCCAGCATTTACATTTCAGTACCATAGAGACACAAATAATACAGAACAAAACTAAACTTTGATGCATAAGAGCATAGCAACCTTGAAATACATGCAAGAATGATACCACCTAATGACTCTCCACTGTGCTGGAAATACATTCTAATTGCATCATTCTGACATCTATTTCTAGCATGATCTATCTCCCTTACTGCAGGTTACTACTGTCTTGTCATGAAAGCTGCAGGTTATTGCTATCTTGTCATGAAAGCTGCAGGTTACTACTGTCTTGTCATGAAAGCTGCAGGTTATTGCTATCTTGTCATGAAAGCTGCAGGTTACTACTGTCTTGTCATGAAAGCTGCAGGTTATTGCTATCTTGTCATGAAAGCTGCAGGTTACTACTGTCTTGTCATGAAAGCTGCAGGTTATTGCTATCTTGTCATGAAAGCTGCAGGTTATTGCTATCTTGTCATGAAAGCTGCAGGTTACTGCTGTCTTGTCATGAAAGCTGCAGGTTATTGCTATCTTGTCATGAAAGCTGCAGGTTACTACTGTCTTGTCATGAAAGCTGCAGGTTACTACTGTCTTGTCATGAAAGCTGCAGGTTACTACTGTCTTGTCATGAAAGCTGCAGGTTACTACTGTCTTGTCATGAAAGCTGCAGGTTACTACTGTCTTGTCATGAAAGCTGCAGGTTACTACTGTCTTGTCATGAAAGCTGCAGGTTACTACTGTCTTGTCATGAAAGCTGCAGGTTACTACTGTCTTGTCATGAAAGCTGCAGGTTACTACTGTCTTGTCATGAAAGCTGCAGGTTACTACTGTCTTGTCATGAAAGCTGCAGGTTACTACTGTCTTGTCATGAAAGCTGCAGTTTACTACTGTCTTGTCATGAAAGCTGCAGGTTACTACTGTCTTGTCATGAAAGCTGCAGGTTACTACTGTCTTGTCATGAAAGCTGCAGGTTACTACTGTCTTGTCATGAAAGCTGCAGGTTACTACTATCTTGTCATGAAAGCTGCAGGTTACTACTATCTTGTCATGAAAGCTGTAGGTTACTACTATCTTGTCATGAAAGCTGCAGGTTACTACTGTCTTGTCATGAAAGCTGTAGGTTACTACTATCTTGTCATGAAAGCTGCAGGTTACTACTATCTTGTCATGAAAGCTGCAGGTTACTACTATCTTGTCATGAAAGCTGTAGGTTACTACTATCTTGTCATGAAAGCTGCAGGTTACTACTGTCTTGTCATGAAAGCTGCAGGTTGCCTGATGTTTTCACCATATGTCTGATGGCTTGTGAAGATAAACTACTTTAATTTATTGTTGTATCTACGAACGAACTTTATTTTCAAAGGGTTACAAATTAGGCACGCAGGCCTGTCTTACATTCGGCCCTTCCAAACTCCCATCTTTCACACAGCAGTTGTATTTCATCAATAAAGCATGTTATGTTCATGTAATAATATGCATATTATAAATATCAAGTCAAAAATAAAGGCATGGGTGGTAAAATATGTGCGCACGCTCGCGCGCGAACACACACCCACATACACACGCAAACCCATTCACTCACACACACATCCACATGCATACGAACAGGCACACACACACACAGATACATGCATACATATTTTACATATTTACATGCATGCATACATATTTACAAAAGCATGAGCTGCAAGGAGAGTCGATGGAAGCGACAACAACTTACCGTAATCTCCATCAATATTTGAAATCATTATATCTCAAAAAAATCTAAGGTTATTAAATAGCATAAGTCTATAAAATAACTGAATTCCCTGAGCAGATTCTTCTTTAAAATCTGGTTCCCTGTGATTGTGAAATTCACCCAGCCTGCTCTAAAATGTTGTAAAAAGGGAAAGGAAAGATTTGTCATTTAGCCATTCACACATAAAATATAATCCTAGTACTAACCTGTGCCAACTGTAATCTTGCAGAAATATCTGGGTTATCAGGTTCAACAGTTGAGGCAAACTTTAAATTGTTCACTGTGTATTCATGGCCGCAGTATACTTTCTGAGCAATAAAGAGACATCTGTTTAGTTTGCAAGTCATGACAGGTTACACAATATAATTAGCTCAACTCTCCCAGCAATATTGTTTTTAACACTTTCACTCTCAAGCAATGTGTAATGGCCAATCCCCTGTCCTACAAATACTGTCCTGCATATCTTACCTTTGATATACATGTCAGAATTCTAATTTTCCAAGCAGTGAACACCGAGATCGATAAATTGTGCAGCGAGAAATGATTCTACCATAGGCCAGAAAGCCATTAGAGGACTGAATTGTTCAAATGCTTAAGAAAAGAAAAGGAGATATCTGGTCAGAATTGAACCAAATCAGCCAGCAACTAGAACATACTACATGAGAACAGCAGGTTATGAGGTAAGAGGCCAACTAAGGAAGATACTACAGGAAAGAGTCAAAAGACACTACAGAAGTGCAGTATGACATGAACACAAGCTAAGGAACTAGCAAAAGACAGGAAACTACATCTGACTCTTCTCTGCGATGCTTTAAGCAGTAGGACAAAAGGACATCTGCTATATGCTTGCACTCACAATATGCAGCTTTTTGCTACTCTAATGTTTGCTCTATTTAAAGTGCAGAAGTTTCCGCTACCATTCATAATATACTTCTACACAAAATATACATCCTTTTTTATTGTCATTCTTCTTCTTGTCTTTTATCTCCAAATAGAACACATGCACCTGACCATATTATGCCAATTCCTTTGTAACCTTCTTTGTGATTGCTTAGATTTTGCAGCTAAAGTTGTCTAAGGGATAAGATAGCCAGTCTCACACTAAGCCCCCGTAGTCATCTCTTAGTAACATTCATGGTAAGTTACAGGGTTACTTTTTTGTCCTCCCTTATGAGCCCCTGTATCACACAAGAAGTTTAGAAATACTGACACCTTTCTGCCTTTCCAAACGATTTATATTGTGCTGCAAGGAGGCATGAGAATCACAACTTATAGCGAGTGTGGCTAGCACAACCCATTTGCGTTTTTTTTTAAAAAGCCTTCCATAGTTAAAGCATGGAATTTAAGGGCCATTATTGCTGTAGCATTTATTTAGCTTTCTTCTTCTCAGAAGTCTATCCTAACCTATCTCCAATCATTTTCTCTGTTATCTCTCCTTTTCTGATTTTCCACTCCATGCAACATGGCTGAATGCATGTAAATAACAAAGACCGGAATGAGGTTGCAGAGGAACTTCAGCCTAAACTCGATTGCATAGCCAGTTGGTGTGGTGAGGCAGGAGCACAGGTCAACCCAAAGAAGGCAGCTGTGACAGGGTTCGCGTTAAACAACTGTATCATCAATACTCCAACACCAACTCTAAATTTTATGCTCGGAGGTGGAGGAAAGAGCTCCTGCAGTTAAATATCTGTGAGTTCTTTTTGATCGCTGTCTGTCTTTTACTGGGCATACAGACTATGTGGTAGCGAAGGCTAGGAAGAATTTGGCAGCTATAAGAGTCATGGCGGCAGCAAACTGCAAAACACTGACATCTCTGTCTTTTATACCAAGGTCTGGTCCTTTCAGTGATCGAGTATGCCCTGGCAATCCTTACTCTTAGCCAGACTCAGAGAGACTGGAAAAAATGCAAAATGAAGCCATGTGCATGATACTTGGGTGCACTAAAGATACAGTATGCAGAGCAATGTTGTACCTCCTTGGTTTTACAACAATGGAAGCTAGAATATGGATCTGTCAAGCACATACCTACCTCTGAGTCAGTGCCAACACATGACACCCAGTGCACAGTGAAAGCAGCAGATTAAAGATAGGAAAATCATGGATGGGTCTGGCCGAGGATATTTTACGAAAGGTTTGTCCACTTAAGGACATAAAACTAGGGAAGAAATGGGTACGTGTACCACCAGAGTGTCATACGTTCTTTAAAGTATGCATGAAGCTAAACAGAGAATGCAGACAAGAAAACCCAGTAGCTGTGGAAGCAGAAATGCAGGCCTTGATATGTGAGAATTCTTCTGAAGACGACGTGATCATCTACACTGACAGGTCTGTCATTCGAGATTACATGAACACAAAATCAAAAGGGGTGAAGCCAGACAACAGCGCTACATAGGGACCCAACGAAGAACAGTTAACCATCAACACAGAATTGGTGTCATAAGCCACTATACGCAGAGGAAGAAACTAAAGAGAGGTTCTGAGCATTTACAGACTGAACGGTTCGATGTGCACTGATGATAATCTGTCGACTAACTAACAAAGCCTGTTTTCTTACATGCACAAAATGCTCTTTGAAGTAGTAGTTTTTTTCTGAGGTTTATTTTACATTTTTTTGCTTACAATGTTCATTAGCTTTTATGATTTTTAAACACCTCAAATGTATTTGTCAACCAATCTTTGATACCTAGAAACAGTGGCACTAAAAAACTTCTAAGGAGCTCACATGTCTCAATAAATGCAGTGAAAAAAAGATAAAGCCATACGTACGGTTTGTGGTGGCAGGCTGCTGAGAATTTCTATGAGAGCTTTGTACATTTGTTGTGGGGTGCCTTCAAAGAACTTCCCACAGCCAGCAACAAACAGTGTGTCTCCTAACAAGATAATACAACACTTGTGTATAAAAAAACAGGCAGTTTCTCATCTAGCAAAATAAATCAGTGCATGTATGTATATTTACGCCAGACTGGTAGATGTCTATACTTCAGAATAAATGTGGTAGGGAATTTCACTCCCCATGTTATGCTATCGGTGCTAGATATATACAGGGAAGGGGGGGGGGGGGGGGGGGGGCTTAACACAGATAATATAGTAAATAAGTCCCTTTTCCACACCTTTGGGCATATAGGGCTAGACCTATATTTTTATAGACGAATTGGGTGATGTGGTCAGCATCACACCAGCCGCCTTTACTTCCTGGGACTGCACACAGTACCTAATCAGGCTGGGTCGACCTGGAAGTCAAGATTATTTTTGAAAAAATGTTCAGCTCTGCCAGGGAGGGAACCCACGACCTTCTGATCCGCACACAAGCATCTAGCCACTATGCCACGGCAACTCCCAACACAGATAATATGCCTGAATAATATTTTTCATTTATCAAGAAAATAAGAAAAGAACGACACAATAGGAAATAATGCCAGTTCACTAAAAGAAAGAAAACAAAATCAAGTAAAATGACTTGGCTATCTATCACACCACCAAAAAGAAATTTAACCATGTGAACAATCAAACAAAACAACACAACAATGACATGTGATTAGAAGAAAGAATGTCTTTAACCCTCTTAGCACGGACGGGCCGATTATCGGCCGGCGGATGTCTGGCCAAAAACACAGAACGGCCGATCATGGGCCCGATCGTGTTTCGCCTCGAACCACTAAGAAATCTCATATTTTGAAACACTGAAAGTGATTCATTTATATTAACTGCTGTATCAGCTTTACACATGGTGACTTTCGAGTGTTTGGTATCGAAGTGAAAATTGTTGTTGAATTTTTTAGATAGTGACCTGAACCGCTAAAAGTATGTCTGACTCGTATGTTTCTGCCCCTAGACTTGATGTTGATAAAACATTTGAATCAAGTGATGACACTAATTCTGTTGATACTGATGCGAGATTTAGTGTTAGTAGTAATAGTGGGAATCAGATGGGGACGCTGTTGTGTTCAGACCACAGCCCAACCATGGCTCAGGGTATATCCACCCGAAGGTGTTGACACTCCGGCACATCCATTTCTTGTGCTGACTGATGGCAAAAAACACGCCACCTAAAGATATTATTGCTGTTTCTTATATATATATATATATACCTGTTTTTTACTACTGAATTGCTTACAACATTTGCAAAAAGGCCAAAGATCAATAAAAAGATTTCAAATAAAAAAAAATTTTGTTTTTAGTTTTATGTTTCAAGCATTGAAGTTGAAAATTCAAATTCATATTTTCTTCTTCTTGTTCTTGTTCACCGGCTGTGAATTCCGGCGGTAAGTCGCGGTTGTTCGTCCAAAATGGACTTTTGGCTTTTACCTTGACCTGAGTTTTGCGTGTACATCCGTTTTATTGTCTTATTTGTTTGCAGTTCTCGTTCCCCGTCTCTCCGGCAGATGTACTCCGACTTCGGAGGAATTCATATTTTCTATTTTTAGATATGCAAATGAGATAATTTGCATATATATCAATTAATTTTAACGATATTGTGAAAATCATGAACTTCAATCTATATCCTTCAAATAGATATATTATTTCATGGGGGTCAGAATAACAGAAATCTGTCAAAAAAATTAAATAAAGTAATAACCAAATTCACTGAAAAAATGCTCCGTGTTTTTGGCTAGACCTCTGAAAAACTTCCTGTGCTAAAAGGGTTAAGAGCTTATTTTAGATTTCTTTTTACATCCTGACAATGTGATATAAAAGTGAGATGAAAAGCATAAAAAGATTGGAATGATGCCTGGAATTTCCACCAAATCATAAATATGCGGAAGAAAAAATTAACATACAAAGGCCTAATGCCTACATGCTGTAAATATGCCTGCATGCCTTTTTAAAAATTTCTGTATCTTAACCACAATCTACAATCATCATTTTCCAATCTGTTTTATATCTTACCTCTGTCTCTTTAATTTTTTTCCCAGTCTGGTCTGTATTTTGTCCTGTTTGTTCCATGTAAATAACAACAGCTGTTTTCTTACATTCACAATATGTTTCTTTACAGTAGTTTTTTTTTTATTGTTGTGTGTGTTCAGGTTATATAATGTTCATTAGATTTTATGATTTTTAAACATCTCAAATGTTATTTTGTCAGCCAATAACTGATATTTTCAATTGTATTTCCCTTTTTAAAATAATTAATAAGTCCTTTTCAAAATTATAGGCAAATGCAAGGTAATCAAAATCAACTTAATTTCTTTTTTAGAGAAAAAGCTAACAGACAGACATTTCGTAATTCATTTCATAATGCTGGTCTTTCATATGGTTCCTTCATTTACTGCAACATAATATAATTTACCAAGATTTGCAATACAAACACCTGCTCACAACTTCTTAAACACTTACCTGTGAATACAGCAGGATCCTGGCCTGATGGACCAGTCACATAATAACAAATGTGCCCTGAAGTATGGCACGGAGTAAACAAACACTTGACATTCAGGCTGCCAATCTGTGGGAGGATTTTTTAGTTGGAAAAAAATATAAGCATTGGTTTCACTAAAAAAAAAAAAAACTAGAAAAACATTTAGTCTGCCTGATAAAAATGCAAATATTCAACACACAAATAGTTGTTATACAATGCATCAACAAATCTATGCGCAAACACAACAAGAGAGAAGCAGTTGAGCATATCTCAGTCCAACACTGTATAACAATGAATCCTCCACTCTATTTCTGTCATTACCACTGATCAGATTCCATGTACTCTTCCCCATCTACCCTCCACTGCCCCAGTCCTCTCCCTCTGCAATCTGTGGAGACCTATACTGTTAAAAAAAAAAGATGTAAACTGACGGCACGTTTTTATTAGTTGCAGAGAAAGCTGGTACGCCTAAAAACTATCAATGATCCAAAGCAAAAGAACTGTCAACTGACTGGTTGAACGCAAAGGTATTCTTGTGAGTAACTTGAATAATTTCACTCAGTGAATGCAGTAGCTATGCATTTTGTTTAAAGCAGTACAAATAGCTTGACTCATGTTGTTGGTTTCTTTCATTAAAACCTCCGAGCACTTAAGCGCTAAATTTTTTTTAAATTTTACTGTCATTTTTGTTTCACGTCTGCATATAAAATCAAAAAATCCTAATTTATATATTTCAGTGATTACTCTGTCTTCACTGTTTGTATTCACATTAGGAACACTGCTCTGACTCTGTGTTTTGTTTCTTGTATTTCTTTTCTGGTGAAGGCTTGTGGCCCCAACTTCATGTTTGTTTATTACTGTATCTTGTAAAGCTTACCTATACTTCACAATTTCCAACTGTTTACAATTTATGCTTTACTCGGGCTCAACCCACCTCATTTATGTGTGGTACTTAATAAGTTAATGTAAATTATACTAATATATTATACGTATCTCAGCATCTGTTGCTTAAGCGTTGTGAACATCCTTTGTAATGCAGGGTTCGATTCCAGCTGCAGACGATTTGTCTTGCGCTGGTTTCGACAGTGGTACAGAGAGCTGCCCGTTGCAATGGCAAACTACTGAACGTAAAATTTGCCTAGAAAAACCACTACAGCCAAATAATGCTGGAGTTGGTTCTGCAACATCTTGTAAAGGATACATAACTAACATTCTAACTATACATATGTTTACAAATCACAGGCAGATAACATATGCAGTTTCCTGGAATGGTAACTGACTAATTCTGTTCACAAGATTTTGGCCAAGATACAAAGACAATGATCAACTGCAGGGTCTTCATTTAAGGAACAATGTGCAATCAACCAACAAAACAAATGTGAACCGACCTTCAGTTCATCTCCATGAGTAACCTGGCGTGTCAGAGCCCCAATTCTGGTGTCACCTCCAACTACTTCAGTCTTTCCAACAGCCTCAATAAGTTTGACGTTTCCTCCGGCATGATCCCTTTGAATATAAAGTGATTAAAGACAGTAACAAATGCTGCAAATATTTTACATATTTACACATTATTTATAAACTAATTAAAAAATATATTTGAAACTACAAATACTCTTAAATTCCAAATAAAAAAGGTTATTCATATACCTGTCAGTGCATAATTGTGTAAGTGAATGCTTGTTTTTGACATCAGTGAAGCGTGATCAATTTGCATGTGTAAGCACTAGCAGGTAACGATTACATCTGAGACAGCATCACATGATATTTTTCTCCTTGTAGCTTTGCTGTTGAATATATGCATGCACAGCTTGCAACATACTACTAGTAACTGGTAACTTTTACATGTTACAGTTTCTGAATTAATGGCATAAGCATGCAGCAAACGTCACTTCTTTCTATGTTCAAAATTAAACCGAGTGATGTATTTGAATAAATAGTAAACATTAATAATAATAATAATAAAAAACATATTTAAAAAAAAAAAAACTATTTGGCAATGAAAAGTATATGCGGCAATTACAACTTTACATCCATGCCTCGCCACTGGTCTTTGAATCGTGTCTAAGCACTTGCGTGCCAAAATAATCTTGGTTTCCAGGTCAATCCATCCTAAAATGGATACCAGGTAAAGTCCTGAGAAGTAAAGGTCACCAGCTTGAGGTTGACCACATCACTCATTAAGTGCTGATTGGTCAATAAAATATATGAGTCTAGCATCATATGTCAGACATGTCATTGGCTTGAAAAAGGGCCCTAACTTTTTACTTTACTTTATACTTGTCTTGTAACTGTGTGTGTTCTATTTGTGTGCATGTTTGTGAAACTGGCAGTACATAGGTTGGTAGGTAGGTCGGCTGATAGTCATACAAATCTGCACAGAGATGTTGCTTCTTCATCCTAAAATGGATACCAGGTAAAGTCCTGAGAAGTAAAGGTCACCAGCTTGAGGTTGACCACATCACTCATTAAGTGCTGATTGGTCAATAAAATATATGAGTCTAGCATCATATGTCAGACGTGTCATTGGCTTGAAAAAGGGCCCTAACTTTTTACTTTACTTTATACTTGTCTTGTATCTGTGTGTGTTTTATTTGTGTGCATGTTTGTGAAACTGGCAGTACATAGGTTGGTAGGTAGGTCGGCTGATAGTCATACAAGTCTGCACAGAGATGTTGCTTCTTCAGTTAGAATGTGTGCAGGTGTTTCAGGGAACCCTTGGGCTATCATTAGATCTAATATAATGAATTATGTGCTCTGTGCAACACTTTTGACAGGCAAATTGCTCTATGTTTTGTGAAACATGTTTCATGGACAACACATCCTCAGTAGTTGTCACTTCCACAAACTGATATCAACTCTTCCAGTATCAAGACGGAACACACAATAAATTTGTTGCTTACTATAGAAAAGGTACACCTTTCTTTACTTTTTCTGTCCAGATCTTCTATTATTTTGTTTTAATCTGTTACCTCAACTTATATCCCACAGCAATATTGTTCAGTTCTAAAAGACTAAAAAACCATAAGGTACAAACACTTTAGGATTTACAGTTTTGAAGTAACAACCACATGGGATTAGAAGTGTTGAACATACCAGTGATGGTGAGTAGTTAGATAGAAGCAATAACCACATGGGATTAGAAGTGTTGAACATACCAGTGATGGTGAGTA